TTAGAGGTTTAGGGGTTTAGGGATTCAGGGGTTTAGGGTTAGGGGTTTAGGGTTTAGGGGTTTAGGGTTTAGGGTTTAGGGTTTAGGGGTTTAGGGGTTTAGGGATTCAGGGTTTAGGGTTTAGGGGTTTAAAGTTAAGGGTTTAGGGTTAAGGGTTTATAGAAATTGTGTGGGGTCTAGATCCTGAGTTTTTGTTGTCGGCTTTCGGCGGGTATTGCCTTTTTGCTTTTGCTGGATTCATTGTGCAGTTTTGGGCGTGTCTTGGGTGGGGTTTGCTTTTCGCCTTGGCTCGGTTGATATTGATTCGTTGCTGGCGATTGCGGCTGCCAGGGAATGAGATTGCAAGGGAGCAAGCCTTCCTCCGCATCATCGCAGACAATCAGTTGACCAGCTCCCCGCCAAAACACAACTGATTCTGGAATCATCGTTTTGCCGCACCGTGGACACACAATTGTTTCTAGAGCTTTCGTTTCTGTGCTTCTATTGGGGTTTAGGGGCTTGTGGGCTTAGGATTTAGGGTTGGGCCGTTAGACGTTTTGGGGCTTAGGGTTTTTGAGGATAACTACAAGAATCATTCTATAGGGGTTGCGATGAGGGCTCTCTATGACTCTGGGGGGATTTTGTGGTTCAAGGTGTACTGTTGTTTTTGGTTTGGGGGCGCCTTTGGTTTAGAGCTTTGGGTTCAGGGTTAAGGGTGTAGAGTTTAGGTGTTAGGTTTGGCCCCCAGCATCAAAATCAACCATCTAAAGCGGGCCAAAAGGCTGCGCTATTTGCGGTGGGTCCTGTTGGTGTACTAACAGGGCCTTCATAATTTAAAGAGGGCTTTGGGGTATGTTCTGCTCTCGATGTATTGACTACTACTCTAAGATACGATTATATTTAGTTACTCCAGTCCCCCATAGTAGTGTTTAGGTATTTTGGGCCCCAGATCTCCAAAAACCCTCAACTTGTAAACCCTAAACCCCTAAACTCTAAAGCTCTAGACCCTAAACTTTAACTTCTAAACCCTAGGCCCCTACGCAGTAAAACGCCAAACCTTAGACTTCTAAACCCTAAACCACTAAACAGTAACACCCCAAACCCCAAACTTCTAAACCCTAAACCCCCAAACCCCTAAGGTTCTAAGCCCTAAACCACAAAACAAGAAAGCCCCCAAAGCCTTAAGGGTCTAAGCCCCAAACCACAAGGCAAGAAAGCCCCCAAACCCTACACTTCTACACGCCGGCCTTGGAGGCGCCGTTCTGCAAGCAAAGCTCTACCTTAGGAGTTTTTGTTTAAAAGATCAGTAAATCTCTAAGCCCTAAGGTTTAGGGTTTAAGGTTTAGGGTTTAGGGTTTAGGGTTTAAGGTTTAGGGTTTAAGGTTTAGGGCTTAGGATTAGGCGGACCCTTGGGGATATAGACCCTCTCAGTCAGGTCGCTTTTGAGAGAGCCATAAGTATTGTTCAGAAGGGTCCCCTTTGCAGGGTCTTCCTACACCCTAAACCCTAAAACCC